AAAGAGTTTTGCCTATTGAAAAACAAGACCGGATGTTATTCGAGCGAGCGGATTTTCATCACTTCAATTGTCCTTTATTGATTTTTTCAGGCAACACTGGTTTCTTACTCACCATCCGCCACTGAGTACCAGTCATTTGTGGTGAAGCGAAACACGAGGATACGATTCGAAGCTCTGTCGACGAGAATCAGCTGATTGCGGTCAGGATCCGCTTCCACCACGGTGATTCCTCTGAAACGAGTGAAATATAAAAAATATAAAGATTTTTTATGGAAAATTCTGGAGGTGGGCCAATACCAACCGAGGAATCTCCGGGAATCGAAGTGTACCGCGAGGTACGGTGGTGTTCTCCGAAACGCTCACAAAGTCCACAACTCCACTATGGGAGTACGAAAGGAACGCAGGATTCACTGAAAAAAAAACCTGAGTCGAAGGCAGGGTCAGAACCGTGGAACCCTCGGACCTAAAGACATACCGGCACAAGATCCATCCGGTTGTAGCAACGAGTAGGCACAAAGACATTGAGGTTGACCTTCGGAATAGATGCAAAGATGTGAGCAGCCGCCATTTGACTTCGCGCAGTCGTTCTGGGATCCTTAAAAAGAGTCACAGCTTTCAATATTTTCATGGCAAATTTCGAGATTGTTCAGATGTGGGCCATTAGGGTGGGTCATTAGGTCCAAAAATCGAGGTAAGGCGTATTTGCTCGATCAGCGACGGAGCCAACAAAAGTTCAGCTAATAATCTTCTACAGCACAACTTCACGCTGACCGTTTGGCGGGATTGAGACACTTTTTAGGCGGCATTTCCCCTGATACTGTAGGACACGGTAAAGAGGACAGCTGATTAGTGAGAGGTTAGCAATCTCCGCCCATACCGTGGGCGTGTGATTGCGGTCTCAAGGGCTATCATTTTCACCATCTGCTTCTCGTCCAAATCGTTGTATGCCTTCTCGAGTTCAAAGGCCCATTCATTCATCTCATTAGCCCCTAATCTTGTCGTAAAGATACGTTATAAAGGAATAAGATGAGTACAAACACCCCCGACCCAACATGATAAGCGCTAAGAACGATTCTCTTTGCTCTGATGGGTTTTCGTTTTGTATTTGCAGCCTTCTCGATGGTCAAGGGCGTTCTCATTAGCCCCTAACTTTGGTCGGTAAGATACGGTAAAGAGGAGGCGGTTCAATGAGAAGGTTGCAAACTCCGCCCACGTGATCACTAAGGAACGAGTTTTTGTGTTCTTGATGGTTTCATTTTTGCTCGCTTTCCTCCTGTTAGGCTATATATCCCATAAACTTTCATTTAAGCGCGCAATACCTCACACCGGTGGTCGCGTCATGTGCCTTTAAGGCTTCCTGTTCGTGAGTCAGACACTTTCAAAGCTCAGCTAATCAACCTACCAGTGACGTTTCGTTTGTAGACTGCTGCTGCTCGGAATCTTAGAGTGGATGTTGTGTTGTAAGCAGAGCTCTGAGTAAAGTTCCCTGTAGCTTCTCTTTTGAATTCAGTCACCAGCAGTGCGTTCGACGTGGCTCTTTTCCTGAAAAAAAGAACAATGATACCGCTTTGTGTCGTTTTACCCACTCTAACGTTAAGGGCAGAGTGTACTATGGGAAGACTGATCATTAAAAATCAAGGTAGAGGTGGTCAGTGGTGCAGATGAAGAAAAAACCATGAGAAACGCCCAGAACCCGAGAAATGACCCCTTCCTTGCCCGTTGATTTCCGCATTGATGCGACTCTCATCGGTGCTGCCCTCTTCAACGCTAACGCTCTCTCTGCTGAACGGCTAGAGTCAGACGGCGAGAGAGGTGGGCGTGCCGCGGCGCGGGTAGGCACCGCTGGCTGCTGGGGAATACTTTTTGATGCGACACGCACATCGTTTCGCACCTTTAGAGAACCCGCTAACCTGGAAATTTGGTGAATTCCCCCCCCCCCTTGCGATGTCCGATCTTATCGTGGAATCCTCCTTAAAGCAACAGTCCCAGCAGGGTGGGCGTGGTCGGAAACGACTGCAATCCCCTCGGCCACTTCAGCTCCCTCCCTAGCGGCTTTCCAAGGTGAGTTTTTGTTCAGTCACACTTCCTACGTTCTTGACTAGGGGCTGAACAGCTCCGAAGTGGGAATCGGCCGAGGGGATTGCAGCCGTTTCCGACCACGCCCACCCTGCTGGGACTGTTGCTTTAAAGCCGGCCCTAGTGTCGGTCTGGGAACTGGCCTAGTTACCTTACTTCATTCGCTCCTAGATTGAAGCTCAGATCGAAGTTTGCCTATCCCAGTAAAGCCTCTCATCAATTCATCCCCACTTGACTCATTGTAACTTGTC